ACTTTTTGGGCTGGGGATTTAGCTCAGTGGTTCCGGCACCTGCCTTGCAAGCGCAAGGTCCCTAGTTCGATCCCCGGATAAAAAAAAAAAAAAAAAAAAAATTGACAAAACGGATATGGCAGAGAGAACACTGTAAAACTCAATGGCACCTGACTTCTCACCTTCCTGCTGACACCCTGCAATGGTTCTAGATGGTAGTTCATTTCCAGTGTGCAGAGTTTACTCAGCCAGGCCATTCTTGCACAGGTATTCCTACCATACCACAAGATTCTGTGCTAGAAATTCCATGGCTAGTAGGATCCACAGCCTGTCACAGCTGGTATTCAAATAAACTCCACAGCACTGGAGCCACTAGACACATATCACCTAATTAATGTGTTATTCACATAGTAACAAGTGATTTGGTTAAAGAAATGTAAATTAATTTTTTTTTTGGTACCGGGGATCGAACTCAGGTCCTTCCATTTGCGGGTCAGGCGGCGGAACCACTGAGCTAAATCCCCGGCCCGAAGATATGTAAATTAGCATTAAAAATAACTACAAATTCAATCCCTCAGTCACCCCAGCCACATTTCAAATGCTCAGTAGAGCCATGTTTCTCCTGTACTAGACAGCAGAGAACATTTCCATCATCAGAAAAAGTTCCATCGGACAGCACTACGCTAGACAAAGCAGAGCCAACCAATTACAATTAGGAGATTTGGTTGGGCTCTCTGGCCTTACATGGTAGCAAGCAGGGCTTGCTGGAAAACTTTGAGCACAGGCAGAAAGAATTCATGAAGAAGTAAGCAGGCAGAAAGAGGGAGAGAAAAAGATCCAAGTATATAGGATTAGAAATGGAAATCAAGAGCAATGGCTCATCTGTCTCTTCACTGTTGTGGCCAGGGCCAAGCCATCTTCCTGGCTGTGCAGATGATGCCACCAGCACAGTGGACCTCAAGCCGGCACAGCACAGAGATGAGGATGAGCTCTGGAGAACTCAGGTAGTTCCGGCACTGGATCCTGCCCTCCACATGAACTAGCCATGGGGACTTACACAAGCCACTGGCCTTCCTGTGAACTGAGGCAGCAGTGTCCAGATCCCTGGAAAGTCCTGGAGTTAACAGACCCCTGCCAAGTGCTGACCATAGTATCCAGTACATAGGAAGCGCCCAGGAAATGCTAGCTGATAGAATGAGGGAAGAGTTTGTGAAAAATTACATCTTTACATTCCTGGTAATTCTTAGGTCTTGATGGCTCTGGGGCTCCTCTATTCACCAAAAACAAATGCATTTGCTACTTCAGGGGGTGGTAACTCCTATCTCAAATAAAAGTCTAGTATCAATTTGAGGGGCATTTTAGGGAGCTATTTTAAGTTCACAAGATTGTCTAAAAGCTATGTTTTGGGGAATAAAAGCTTGCAAACTTGAAAATGCTTCCTTTTATGGATAGCAAAGCTTGGAGGTGGAAGTATATATGTTTATAGACGCTGTGGTGCAGAGAAGAGGTGCCCAATCATCATCCCTGCCATATGGGAAGCAGGGAAGCTCTTCCAGGACCGAGTGCTTGGAGAACTGGAAGGGTGAGATAGGATCAAGATGCTGTGCAGATCCCAGCAATGGGAACCAGCCACAAGACCCAGCATGTCTTCTCTCAGGAGCTGAGGCAGGAGGGAAGAAGGCTGGAGATGAAATGACATGAGGCCAGAGGGCTTGAACCTTCTTTACATTTGGAATTCTGAGTGGAGACCACCTCTTGATACGGCTGTTGAAGCACAGACTAAAGAGAAGAGCAGGGAGAGGCAGTCTGAGCTGACACTCATGGCTTCTACATCCTCAGTAGGGCCTGCAATGGAGACCCAAGGACTCTGTCCTGTGGTCCTGGGGATGGGGAAGAGGCCCTGTGGGTGAGGCCCTGGTGAGAAGAACGCAGAGAGGAGGCTTCACACTCAGCAGCTATACTGTGTGGATGACAGCCCAGAGCCTGAGGACCAGGCCCCCACTATGGAGACAGTGAAGCCTGGACAGCCACCCAAAGCATCTGCCCAGCAGCCAGGCAAGGACATGGGGTGCTTCAGGAAATTTAGCAGAGAATCAAAAGGTGGCTCACACACTGATGTCCCTGTTCCTCTGCCACCCAAAAAGATGTGATTGGGAAGAAATGACCCTTTGAGAGGATCAAGTTCTAATGTGGAATCTGAATATGTATCTTAAATATTTACCTTAAAGCAACTGTTTCAACTTCAAGAGTCTGAGGTACTTGTAACTGGTAAGTCTAACTTTCATTCCTCCTGTCCCTGCATGCAGCTTGTTCTACAGCAAGATAAGGTCATTTAAAAAACCAAAGTCAAGTAGGTTACATTTTCTACACATCTGTGTTGTGGTGTGCTAATCCTAACTCCCATTTGACTGCTAAGGACTCCAGATGGGAAAGGTTGAGAGGGAGGGTCTCTGAGCTCCCCACACCATTCTGCTCACCTCCTTGGGGTTGTCCCCTGAGAGGCGGAACTTGCGAGGTGTCTTGCTCCGAGCGTATTTGCAGCCATTGAAGTACATGCTCCAGGAACAGCCAAAGGAGAAGGAGGCACCACAGGTGTTAGGGTCTTTGCCTTGGCAAGCACAGGTCCGGCTGAAATGTACAAGATAGGTTATGCATACAGAGGCATTATCTCTGTTCTAGAATCTTCCTCCCTCAAGGGGAGGCCTTGCTGGAGCCTGGCATCCCACAGCCTCCCAGTGACTGGGGCTCATTCTTCCCTGCCCCATCTTTCTTCAAATTTCCTTGAGCAGAAAGCTAGCTCCCAGAAGCCAGTTCTGCAACAGCCTTGTGCTGAAAGGTCTAACCACAGTCTGCTGCTGGGAGAAGCATGTGGATTAAAACAGGGAAGAATCAGTGAAAGCCCCATGAGGGTCACATTTTGCCTTAACTCTAATATCCTGACCAGCTCCAACGCAGACCCCCAAACAGGGAATGATGTTAGCCTCAGGGTTGGGACATGCTTGCTTCCTACAGCCCAGATGCAGCAGGCCTTGAAATGAACACACACTGACATTAAAATTCAAGGCTTAATAAAATTTGGAAATAACCCAAATGCCCCTCTACTGGGGAATGGATAAACAAACGTGATGCTTCCACACAGTGGAATACCACTCAGTGATTAAAAGGAATGTGCTTCTGACACACATCAGCACAGATCAGCCTCAGAAACATCATACTTGGTGCAACAAGCCAGGCTCAAAAGGCTTCCCACTGTATCATCCTACCTATCTGACATTTTCGCAAAGGGAAACCCACTAGAACAGGAAATGAGACATAGTTCCCAAGGGCTAGGGGAAACAGCTGCTGAAAAAAGGCATAAGGGGATTTTGGGGGGTGATAGAAGTGTTCTCCATCTTTATTGTGGTGGTGGTGGTGGTGGCTACATGAATGTAAACTTTGTCAAAACACTCCAAACTATATACCAAAAAGGATGAATGTCGTTGAAAATATACCTTACCCCCAAAAGGGGAAAAACACAATAAAAGTAGGCTTTGTAAAGATCATCAATACTTTATGTTTGTCACACACACAGACACTTTTTTTCACATTTGTTAACAACATTATTAGGGTGTCGGAATTGGTTTGGGGATTAACAGGGAAGCTAAGCCAAGTCAACAGTCTTTCCCAAGCCAGGACTGGCACTCAGCTCAGGGTCTGTGGATAAACATTCCTCAGCCACAGTTTCAACTCTGCAGACAAACAGGGCCCAGGGGAAGGAAATCTTACCCAGGATTACCCAGAATCTATGTACCTGCTGCCCAGGACCCTGCTGGTAACTTTGCCCCACCTCCCCTGCCCCCATCCTCTGTACTCTACCACATACTCATCATTGAGGCCGCATCTCCGGCTGGTGGGGTTCCCATACTTCCGGAGGGTATCAGTGAGCTCCTGGTAGAGGGTGTCTCCTAGGCTTCGGGGGATGCCCTCCCAGGCCAGGATGAGGATGACAATCACAGCGTTCTGGCAGTGGTGGCCCGCCCGGTGCCGCACCAGGCAGAGCAGCTTCTCCTCCAGCGTGTGCCGGCGAATTACCTGTGGGGACATGGGGTTGTACCATTAGCTGCCAGAGCCGTGTACCCTTCACTGATACACAGACCCGGGGGTGCAGGTCTTTAGGGTATTATCCCACTGGTGTCACTCTGGTGACAGCAATCACACAGGTTAAGAGATCGTTATAATTAGGGAGTGAAAAACAGAAAAATTTTAATAGCAAAATAAAAAAATCACTACAAAGTCTAAGACATTGGTGGTTACATGGGTTTAAGGGTAAAAAAAATACACCGATAAGATTGTAAGTCAGAGATTTTATGTTGTTCTAAAATATTTGCAGAGAAAATCTGGCATATTTGTGTTAGTTTAAAAAGTAAGGGACTTGGCACTGTGGAAAACAGTTTGTGGTTCCTTAGAAAGCTAAACATAGAATTAACATACAAGGTATAACTGAAAACTACGGTGAGTATTTAAATAAATAACTTGTTACAGTAAAAGACACACTGCCATTAATCCCCTTTAAAATACTCCCCCTCACTTCAAATACACTTATCCCAGCATTCTTGCCACTTTCTGAAGCAGCTCTGGAAGTCCTCTTTCCTGTCTTTAGTTGTGTTGTCATGGCTGTTTGGATGTCCTGAACTGACTCAAAACATTAACATTTCAAGGTCATTTTGACTTTGAGGAAGGGCCACAAGCCCACAGTGCCAGATCCTGTGAATAAGGTGGATGAGGATACACTGTTTTTTCCCTTAGTCCTGTGGATTGAACCTAGGCCCTTGAGCTACATGCCTAGGCCTTTTCTTATTTTTAATTTTGAGACAGGGTCTCAATAAGTCATTAAGTTGCCCAAACTGGGCTTGAATTTGCAAAGCCCCTCTTTCAGCCTCTGAGTGCTGGGATAACAGGTGTGTGCCACCATGCCCAGCTCACACTGCAATGTTTTTTATGAGCCTCCCTTTCTGCTGGATGGCATCAGCATTTGCTGTATATTTGATCACATAAAAAGAACTGCTGGAATGATAAGAATGTTAGGATAAATGTGTTCAACGTGAGGAGGAATATTTTACAGGGGACTAATGGCAATTGGTCTTTCACCATAAAAGTTTTTAAAAATTTAAATATTTACCATATATTTTGATCACTCCTTGTATGATCCTACAATTCTATGACTTGCAATATACCCAAGAGAACTAAGTGCAGGAACTCAGATAATTGCACACATATGTCATTTGCAGTGTGATTCATAAGAGGTGGAAATGACTCAAGTGTCTGTCAGATGATGAATGGATAAACTCAATATGGTATATATGTACAACACAATATTATTCAGCCATAAAAAGGCATGAAATTCTGACACATGAAACAACACAGATGAAGCCTGAAAGCATTGAGCTAAATGAATTAAGTCAGACACAAAGGACAAATATTTTGATTCCAACAGTATGAACTGCCTAGAAAAGATTCACAGAGACAGAAAGCAGATTAGAGGTCATCAGAGGCTAGGGAGGAGGAAATAAGGAGTTACTGTTAATGGGTGGTGTTTCACTTGGGGATAATGACAAAATTTTGGAATCAGACTATAGTGATGGTTGGAATAACAATATGGACATATTTAATACTACTGACCTGGACACTTAAAATGGTTAAAAAAGCACATGTTATGATATATATACATACATAT